GTAGTGTGTGTGTGTGTGTGTGTGTGTGTGTGTGTGTGTGTGTGTGTGTGTGTGTGTGTGTGTGTGACAGACAGGCGGACAGACAGACAGACAGAGAGTAGAACGTGCCCGGTTTCATCATCTGCTCAATAATGTCCCCCCTCCCCCACTGCACCACCACCCCCTCCCTGCAATCAGACGAGGAAGGGCGGACTGTTGTGGACGACATCAACCAGTCGCCAGTCATCGAGGAAGTGCACAGCGACGACGACGACGACGACGATAATGGTGATGCTGATGCTGACGATACTGATGGTGATTATGGTCGTGGTGACAACGATAGTGGTGGTGTTGTGAAGGCAGAGGACAAGCAAAGCGCAGAATGATCGCACTTGCCACAGACAGGGTGGGTTTGCTGTCATGTGCATCAGCCCCTCTCTCCCTTCTTCGTTGCGGTTTCCCTCCCTCCCTCGCTTCCCTCTCTGTTTTCATGTTAGACAGCGGTGTATGGGATGTGTTACATCGCAATGTCACCATGGGAATTGCTGTCCTTGTTTCCACCCCTCCCCGAATACTTTGAACATATGTGACCATGACGGTTGTGGCTGCGGCTGTGGTTGGAGTTGTTGTACAGAAGTGGTTACAGTAATAGTAGTTGTGGTGGCGGTTGTCGTTGTAGTTGTTGCAGTTGGAACAAACGAAGAATGAGCACCCAACAGGACAGCGGAATGCTTCGCAACACAAACAAACAAGCGGGAATATGGGATTACAAGCGTGTGGGGCACAGTGACGCTGAAGGTGACGACACACACACAGACATGTGGATGACACGAAGCAACAGACTACACAGCAACATACAAACACGCGTATCACTCTCGAGAGCGCGTGCGCGTGCGTGTGGGCGGAATCAGGGAGGGCAATGACACTGGGCGGGGAAGAACGTGGTAAATGTGGTGTTGTGTTGTGTCGTGTGGAGGAAGGGCCGGTGGGGGGGGGAGCGTAAGGAGGGGCCCTTACTCCTGCTGGGACCACACCTTGGTCTGTTGTTCAATGCGCAACACACCAGCAGATGTGAGCACTTCATGTTGCGAGCAGGGCGAAGGTGCACGCACGCACATCTATCGTCATCATCATCATCATCATCATCATCATCATCATCATCATCATCATCATCAGCAGCAGCAGCAGCAGCAGCAGCAGCAGCAGCAGCAGCAACAGGGGTGTCATCAACAAGCACAGTGACAGCAGCAGCAGCAGCAGTGGTGGTGATCATGTGTTGACGTACGCGGCAGTGCTCGAGGGCGCCGCATTCAATAGCCGTGTCCTCGCTCTGGCACCCTGATGATTGTGACAGTGATGGCCGTGATGGTGAGGATGATGGCAGTGGAAACGCGCAGGAGTGAGTCGCGGTGCACACACACACACACACACACACACACACACACATTCACACACACACACACACACACACACACACACACACACACACACACACACACACACACACACACACACACACACACACACACACACAGGGGTGCGTACAGTAGCTTGGGCCGAATGTGCAGCGCTTTGCGCCAAGGAGGTCACCGTTGACTTTCATCGCAACGCTGGAAGATTGAAAAGGGGGAAGGATGCACGTGATGTGGTGAGATGGGATGGGATGGTTGGGTGGTGACATGGTTGGTGAGCACAAAGTGTTTCAAGAATTACTGCACGCACACATTCACAGACAGACGCGTACACACACACACACACACACACACACACACACACACACACACACACACACACACACACACACACACACACACACACACACACACACACACACACACACACACACACACACACAATCCCCGACCACGTTCGTGTGCACGTGTAACCCGCCCTCCACTCCCCCCCCCCCCCCAACTCCGTGTCCACTCACGAGCAGACGTGAATGTCCTTGCAGACGGCGTTTGGGTCCAGCTTTTCGTCGAGCCAGTTGATGACATCGGGGGCCCAGTCGTCGACAAGGTCCACGCAGATGTTCTTCAGCGCACCAAGCCCGCTGCACACCTGCGCACAGTACCGCAGACATGAGATGGGGTCGTTCATTGGGGTTACCACGTGTGATGAGCTGGAGATGGTGAAAACAAGCAATTTGTACATGTGTGTGTATGTGTGTAGTTGTCTGCCGTACACCAACAACACCACACGACGACACGTTCACTACATGACGACATGTGCACACTGTGACAAATATCGCATCACACAAACACATTCATATTCACACAAACGCATTCACGTCCAGTGCCACGTACGGAGGTGATAGCCTGGACAATGTCCTTCTCGGTCTGGGGATCACTCAGGGCCTGCTGCAGCGCAGAGATGACCGTCTGTCCGTATCACAACAGCAATGGTGGGATGTGGAATGAGGTGTGGAGTGGTGGTGGTATTGTGTGAGGATACAGTAATGTGGTTGATGGCTCAGCTTTCCTACGTGAGAGCAGCGTTTGCACACACACACACACATCCATGCAGACGCGTACGCGCGCACACACACACACACATACACACACACACACATACACACACAATACCTTGCAGATGTCGCAGGTGCTGCCGAGCTTGGCCTCAACAAACCGCTGGGCAGACGCCTGCACGGCGACCTTCCTGTGTACCACGAACCACAGCATGATGTGCATGCATGAGAACACCTCGCGGACACAATGGTACGTTGCAGCCATCCATGCACAATCTACACGAACATCGACGCCTTCTCCCCTTCCCTTCCTTCCATCGTCCCTTCCTATCCCTTCCCTTCCCTTCCCTTCCTTCCCTTTTCATTCCTTTGCCCTCGCTCGGATTCGCACGTCTCAACCACTGCAGTTGTCACCACACGCACAGGGCATCGGAGGTGGAGCAGCCGAGCTTGAGGATGTTGTCGCAAATCTCGTTGGAGCTGAGCTCAGAGGCAATCCAATCAACGAGCTGCTGGCCATACTGGTCCACAAAGGACTTGCACGCGTCGCGGTCCGAGGAAGGCACGAGGTGGCACACGTCCTCGATGTAGCCCACAATCTTGGACACGGTCGCAGGCGACGTCAGGTACTGGTCGAGCTCCTACAGCCCGTGTGTGTTTGTTTGCGAGTATGTGTGTGTGTGTGAGGGTGAGAGAGTGTGTGTATGGTATGCTTGCGAGTTTGCGTGTGTGTGAATGATGTGCTTGCGAGGTTGCATTCCAAGGTGCGGCGTTCCACACTTCTCTCCGCACCTTGACGAGGAACTGGCAGATGAGGCACTCGGTGCCGCTTCCCTCCACGGGGACGGGGGCGGCTGGGGCAGCTGCCAAGAAGGAAGAAATGAAAACACGGTCAGCGACAACGTCAGCTCGCGGACAAATGACACAGTTTGTCATGGTTTGTCATGGTTTGTGGTGGTCGCAAGCTATCATTGCACACATACATCACACGTAAGTACACCACACCATCCAAGCGTACTCACACACACACACACACACACACACACACACACACACACACACACACACACACACACACACACACACACACACACACACACACACACACAACCCCCACAGCTCACCAGAGGTGCCTGCCACGCAGGCAAGGGCGAGCACGAACACAGCAGCGAGCACACGCATGGTCGTGGTTGTTGTTGTTTTGGTTGTTGTTGAGGTCGGAAAGAAGGGCAAAATAAGTCATTTGTGCACAATTCTCTGATTCGATGCTGAATGGAGAATTTTAGCAATACTGCTTTCACTTTTCGCCATTGCCTGGGTTTTCCTGTGCCAAGAACTGCAACGCGGACGAACAAGACAAACAGAAGACAGAGCACCACCAACCAGCCAGCGTCACCACGCCGCCGCGATGAGTGATCCACGCGCGGTGCTGTCGAGCGACGAGGAGGATGAGGTGCCAGAGACGCAGGCTCCCATGAGCAACGGGTCGAAGAACAAGAAGGCAGGAGAAGGAGGTGGCAGCCTCTTGGCAGATTACCGCGACGATGACTATGGCGATGACGAGGACGAGGATGAGGACGCGGACATGGACGAGGACGATGAGGACGAAGACGACTATGACGACGACGAGGATGACTACGCCTCGGCCAAGCGCCGCAAGGTGTGTGGGTGTGGGTATGTTTGTAGTTGGGTGAGGGTGGAGCAACGGAAGTTGTCGCTGGCTGCTGCTTTATTGCTTATTGGCTGCTGCTTTGCTGCTTATTGGCTGCTGCGTGTTCTTGCTTTCTGACTGTCACTTGCTGCGCATGCGTCATGGCGCTCATCGTGTGTGTTTCCTCATGCAGAACACTGGCGGCCGGCGCCCACGCAAGCGCAAGAAGGCGAGCGGCCGTGACTTTATCGACGAAGCTGGTGTGTGTCTGCAAGCGTGTGTGTGTGTGTGTGTGTGTGTGTGTGTGTGTGTGTGTGTGTGTGTGTGTGTGTGTGTGCGTGCGTGCGTCTCTGTGTGCGTCTCTGTGTGCGTCTCTGTGTCTGCAAGTATTCCATGTGAGCAGCGTCTAAGAATCGGACATGCCGTGGCTGCGTTCAACATGCATTCACTCGTACACTGCTTTCTTCCAACCGCATGCGACTCTGCAGAGGTTGGCGACGAAGAAGAAGAAGTGGATGATGATGAGGCTGAGCTGCACATGCCGGAAACGGCATACGACCGCATGGCCGAGAAACACTGGGCCACCACGCAGCAGAAGCGCCAACAGCGCGGCGGTACGCTGTGTGTGTGTGTGATTGCAGTGTGTCGCGTTACCGCATAAGCTGCGAGCTGGCATTCACTTGGCTTGCGTGGAATTCACTGTGGCATGTGGTGCACTGTGGCTGCGCAGATGTCCTGGCGGAAATGGAGAAGCGATACAGAGAACAGGCGCAGAGGTAATGCTACTATCGTCCACGAACACTGCACCCGCCACCACGCTCGCATCCACCAACCACTGGATTTTTTCGAGTCGCCAACAACGCGCACTTGCCTGTGCTCTCGCACACACACACACACACACACACACACACACACACACACACACACACACACACACACACACACACACACACACACACACACACGCACGCACACACACACACATTCACACACACACACACACATTAACATGCGCTCACGTGCACATGCCGCCACGCCTGCGCCGCGCCAGGTACGAGGAGGCGTCTGCCGTGTCGCAGGGGGCGGGCGCCGCCATGGCCGAGGACCTCGACGACTTTATCGAGCGCGACGAAGAGTCAGTGGATCACACGCACGCACATGATGGCCATTGCATACGCGTCTGTGCCAGCGTAGCTGTGTGCATGCTTGTGTGTGTGTGTGTGTGTGTGTGTGTGTGTGTGTGTGTGTGTGTGTGTGTGTGTGTGTGTGCGTTCGAGTGAACATGTTGAGGTGCTCACGCACTATCTGAAGCGTTCGTGATCTCAAGAATGTCAACAATATACGCCGTGAACCCCCCCCCCGCCCATACCCTCGCTCATCACAACCGCTGCTGCTGCTGCTCGTGCTTGTGCTCGTGCTTGATGTGTTCAGGCCTGGCGCAATGATGGGCGAGGAGGAGGCCGGCATCTCCCTTGCAGAGCCCGAGATTCAGCCTACAAAGGAGTGCGTTTGCGTCTGCTAGGCACCCACATGTGTCTTTTGTTGTCTGGTTGCGTGTTGGGGTGGTTGAGCGATTGGTGGCGGTTGCCCCTTGCATGCAGGCATGTGGTTGCCTGCTGTCTCTAGTGAGGGCTTTGGACTTGTTTTGGTTCACCGCCCACCTTCTTACGCCATCACTCACACCCAATCACACACAATCACGCACGATCACGCACAATCACACACAACACACACACACCCAATCACACACAATCACGCACAATCACACACAATCACACACACGCTCACACTCACACCCAATCACACACACGCACGCACACGCACGCAATGTCAACGCCACGCCTGGGGGGGGGCATGGGAATGTGCAGTGACCCGATTGTGTGGGCGGTGCGGTGCAAACCCGGCGGTGAGCAGGAAGCGGCGATCAAGCTGATGCGCAAGGCAATGCAGGCCGCCATGAAGGGCGAACCCCTCGCTATCAAGAGCGTCATCGGATACAGGCAGCAGCGGGTACGCACGCGTTGGGCGGGGGGGGGGTGCAGGTAGTGGTGGTGTGATTGCTGTTGCTGTTGTTGTCGGCGGCAACGGTGATGGTGGTGATGATGGCTTGCATGCTGATCGAGAGAAACAGTGAGTGAGACTGACAAGCCAGCACAGAGAGAGAGAGGGGGGGGGAGTCAAGAGAGAGCGGGCACAACTGGGTGCAGTTAGGTTTTTGTTCACCGTTTACATGTGATGGCGCCTGTGCTGCTCGTCTCACTCCTCGTGTCCACCTTCATTTCCAACATGTACTGCAGGTTGTTGGTGGGCGGTCGTACATCTACGTGGAGGCGTACAGCAGAGAACACGTCAAGCACGTGCGTGCTCCTGCAGTCGCCACTGCTGTCGATGTTGTGCTGGTGTTGTGTGGAGGGGGGGGGAGGAGATGCACCGCTTCTTAAAGCGCTGCTTTGGGTTCACAGCAAAAACAACACACACGCACACGCACGCACATGCATGCATGTTGACATGCACACATGCATGTTGGCATGCACACTTGCATGTTGACACACACACCCATATACACTCAAACACACGCGTGCCTTGGTAAATCTTTTTGTCTTGCCTGCAGGCAATTGCTGGCATTGAGGAGCTTGTGTATGGGCAGTGGACGCAGGAGCTGGTGGAGATGGAGGCACGCCCCGCCCTCCTGCGCGTCAAGAAGAGGAAAATCAACGGTGTGTATGTGTGTGTGTGTGCGTGTGTGTGTGCGTGTGTGTGTGCGTGTGTGCGTGTGCGTGCGTGTGTGTGTGCGTACGTGCACATTGTGACTTCTGGAAATGATTGGTGTTGCTCATCTTCGTGCAACTCTGGCGTGCTCACCAAATCCAAACGCGTGCAGTGAAACCGAACCAGTGGGTGCGGATTAAGCGCGGCATCTACGCCAACGACCTCGCAAAGGTATCTTGCACTGCGCACACCCATTTACACACACAAGAACACACACATGCATGCATGCACACACACAGGAACACACACACACACACAGGAACACACACACACACAGGAACACACATGCACGCATGCACACACAATGTCATTCATGCACGCATGCACCACGACACATGCACACGTACTTCCGCTCACGCACCTCTGCCAATCACCCCTGCCCATATGTGTGTGAAGGTTGTGCGGGTGAATGCGACGGTTGACCCGCCGCGCGTTGAGGTGCACCTCGTCCCGCGCATCGACCTCACCCCGCAGCGCCGCAAGAAGTGAGCAACCTGTCATCCACTTGGCCCGTTTTCCGTATTTGTGTGTTGTGTGTGTGCCTGTGTCTGAGTGTGTAATGCTGCTGTGCTGCGTGCTGGCCGTTGCTGACCTGAGCAACACCATGATCACCACCGCCATACCACCACGATGCTTTGCAGGAATGCGCGCAAGTTCCGCCCGCCCCAGCGCCTCTTCAACCGCGATGAGATTGACCAGGCCATCCCAGACGCGGTGCCCACCCCTTGCACATGACACGCACGTGCACACACACACACACGCGCATTGGCATGTTGTGACTTGGACCACCCGGACGCAGTGGACGCACTCTTCCACGCGCAGAGAAACCTGTGCCTGAGAACTCACCCCATCTGTCCATCTGCCGTGTATCTGTGTGTGTGTGTGTGTGTGTGTGTTCTCATAGGAGGTGATGTGGGACAGCTTGCGTGACGAGTACCGGTTTGAGAACAACGCGTACACGGAGTCTGGATTCCTCATCAAGCGCATCCCCATTTCGGGCGTGCTCACCTCGGCTATCAAGGTGCGCGGCCTGCCACACATGCACTTGTTTGTGCACGTGCACTTTGCACGTATCAGCACTGCCATCGACGGAGTTTGTGGTTGAGGTGGCTGATCGTGTCTCGTTGGTGGTGTGATGTGCCCCTGACTCCGGGCATCCAGACCTTTTCACCACCACCATTCTCGCCATTCTTACCATGCACCACCACCACCATTCTCGCCATTCTTACCACCCTCTCACCGTCTCTCGCTGCAGCCGACGCTTGAAGAGCTGTCGATGTTTGAGATGACGGAGGATGCGCACGTGGAGATGGAGCTGCCTGACGAGCCCTCGCTCCAGCCCGCATTCGCTGTTGGCGATCGCGTCGAGGTCGTCGGCGGTGACCTCAAGAACCTCACAGGTACGCGCACATGCTCGCGTGCTTGCGCCCACGCACACGCAATGGCAATCGCACGGTGGAGGGGAATGGTGCACAACATGCGCACATGATTACGGAAATGAAGAGAGACTGTGCACAACGTGCGCACATGAATACGCATATGAAGAGGGGCGATGAGCAAGTGCGCCCCTCTCCTGTCTTGACTGCATGCCCCTCCCTACCATGCACCCACGATGCACCATCCACCACCATCCACCACAGGTGAGATTCTGTCCATCAACGCGAGTTCGCAGCAGGTGGAAATCCGGCCCGACAGCGACGAGCTCAAGAAGACGGTCAGTGCACCGGCACTGGAACGCTTTGTTTGTTTGGTCACTTGCTTTGGTTGGCTTGGCTGCTTTCTTCGTTGTTTGTTTGCTTGTTCAGCTGGTTGGTTGTGTGTTACAGAAGGGTGAGGAGGGGCACGCGGTGTTGCATCATTGGCAGCGGTTGTGGTTTAGAGCGCGTGTTGTGGGCGTCGTTGTGACGGCTTGATGCCTCTGCTGCTTTCTTGTCGCCTCTCAACTCAGCTCTACGCATCGATTCCTCCTCGCCATCAACTCATCTGCTCATCGCCACAAACCGCCACCACCAACAACCAACACCAACAACAACACCATTGCGTGCGTCCGCTGCAATCAGGGCATTACGCGGATCCCGTTGCCCATCTCGGAGGTGCGCAAGGCGTTCCACATGGGCGACCAGGTCAAGGTCAACCACGGCAGATACAAGGGCGAGACCGGCCTTGGTACGCACCCGCATCGTGACGGTGGTGGTGGTGGTGGTTTGTTTGTTCGTTTGTGTGTGTGTGTGTGTGTGTCTGTGTGTCTGTGTGTCTGTGTGTCTGTGTGTCTGTGTGTCTGTGTGTGCGTAAGTTGTTATCTGCTTACCTTCTGCCGCCCTGCCCCGCCTCTTTTGAAAACAGTTCTTCGTGTGACGGATGACTTCGTCAGCGTGCTCTCCGATCTCTCCCTCAAGGTCAAGACACACAACCTTGCACGCACGTGCACATGCGTGCGTGCAATCATCATAATTACTGCATCTACTCTTCCATCTCATCTTACCCTAGCGTCTCCTCTCTTCACGTGTGTGTGTGTGTGCAGGAGATTCGCGTGCTTGCAAGCGATCTTGAGATGACGACGACGGTGGCGTCTGGCCGCGACGTGCTCGGTGCGTTCATGCTGGTGATGGTGGTGGTAGTGGTGCTGATGGCAGTGGTGCTGGTGGTGACGTATGGCGCTCGCTTGCGTTGCCATTATGATGCGCCTGTGCCGTCTTCAGGTTGATGCAGTCATGGGAACATGATATGAGTGCTCACACTCACTCGTGCCTACTGCATCCACGTCTTCACACATACACACACATGCGTGTTCACTGCAACAGGGCAATTCCGGCTGCACGATCTGGTGCAGTTCAACAACGCCAACGTCGTCGGCTGCATCATCCGCATCGAGAACGAACAGCTCAAGGTGTGTGTGTGTGTGTGTGTGTGTGTGTGTGTGTGTGTGTGTTCCACGCACTCGCTTGCGCGCAGCAATCATCATCATCATCATCATCACCATCGTCGTCGTCATCATCATCATCATCATCATCATCATCATCATCACCATCACCACAACACCCCTTCCCTTTCCGCTTTCCTCAGATCCTTGACCAGCGCGGGCAGGAGCGTGATGTGCGCCCGCAAGAGGTGCGGCCGCGCCAGCGCCGCGGATCACCACAGGCGCTCGACAAGCACCAGAACGTCATTGGCACGGGCCTCAGCGTCAAGGCCGTCGACGGGCCAAACAAGGTGCAGCCGTGGCGGTGGCGGTGGTGATGGTGGCAGTAGTGGAGGTGCGGAGGAGGAGGAGGAGGAGGAGGAGGAGGAGGAGGAGGAGGAGGAGGAGGAGGAGGAGGAGGAGGGGGACAGGTGGTGGTTGCATGGGGGTGATGACAACCGCTCAGCGATTGAAGAGGCAGTAGTGGTGTTGGTTTTGGTGGCGTCTGAGCGTGGCAGTGGGGATGACATCACGCCACACCACACACGAGATGCGTTAAGTTTCTAACAGGCTGCTTTGAGTCCCCTCGCTCACCTTGACCACACCCCACTCATTTTCAGGGCCGTGAGGGGAAAGTGCTGCACATCCACCGACGGTTTGTGTTTGTGCGGCAGCCGTCCATCCTTGATCGCGGCGGCATCTTCGTCGCAAATGCAAACCACCTTCAGGTACGCACTCCACATGCACGCACGCGCGTGGACGCGCGTGGACGGGGAGAGAAGCGGGGGTGAGAGCCGGAGACAGACAGAGAGGGAAGAGGGAGGGCATACGCACGAGGGCATAGGCACGAAGGCACATTACACGCGAGCGTCCCCATTCAATCTGTCACACACACACACGCACACACACGCGCGCGCACACACACACACACACACACACACACACACACACACACACACACACACTATGCAACTCACCCTGACATAATTTCACCGTCCCTTCCCCTTCCCCTTTTCGCCATTCCAGGTTGTTGGCGCGTCGACCCGCCCCGCTGCAAACATGACGGGTGCAGAGTCGCCGCGTGCCGTGCTCAGCCGGTCGACGGGCGGCGCTGCCCCTCGCGGTGGCGGCGGTCGTGGTCGCGGGGGCCGTCCGCGCAGGGACCCGCTCTTCCACAAGCTCGTCATCGTCACCAGCGGGCCGCACAAGGGTGAGCTGTTGTGATGGTGTGGCAAGCAGTAGTCGTGGGGGTGACAGTGGTTGTGGGTGATAGTGGATGGTTGTTGGACTTGTCTCTGTCTGTGTTGGTCGCTCGCGTGCATTGTTTGTTCATCTGCGGTTGTGATGGCGGCCATGCAAGCAATTTGTTGTCGACTCATTCTTTCAATGTGCTGTGTCCTTCGTTTGTTGTTGGCGGTGTGCCTGCAGGCAAGCAGGGCATTGTGAAGGATGCGACACCAACAAATGCGCGAATCGAGCTGCAGAGCCTTTGCCGGACAATCACCGTCGATCGGCAAGCCATCAAGGTGCGCACACATGCACCACACACGTGCATTACAGTTGATGTTGATTGACGAGCTGTGCCTGTGGCTTACCACCGCGAAGCCCCAGCTGCCAATCGCAGTCATTCAATACGAGAATCACCGCCATTCCTAGTCATCATCCTCATCCCCTTTTTGTCATCCCTCATCCTCTTCATCGTCATTGTTGATGGCTGTCGGTGTTCAGGAGGCTTCCACGCTCAACCGCGCCACCACCTCCCTCTCAACCCCGTTTGGCGGACCTCAGGTACACTGTACCAAGGGCGTGAACTGTGTGTGTGTGCGCGCGCGCGTGCGCGCGTGTGTGTGTGTGTGTGTGTGTGTGTGTGTGTGGGTGGATGTGGGTGTGGGTGTGGGTGTGGGTGTGCGTATGTGTGTGGGTGTGTGTATGTGTGTGGGTGTGGTTTTGGGTGTGGTTTTGGGTGTGGGTGTGGGTGTGGGTGGGGGGAGGTGTTGTGAGCGTGTTGTGGGTGTTGTGGGTGTCTGTGTCTGTGTGTCTGCCTGTGTCATGTGTGTGGCCGTGTCAGTGTTTGTGGCTGTGCGTGTCTTTGCTGCTTGTTTGCACCCCCTCTCCCCAAGCCAGGCACCCATGGCCACTCACATGCACCCATGGCCACTCACACGCACCCGTCGCCCAACGGTGACTCGTCCAACACTAGATGGGCGGTGTTCAGCACGGTGCACAGACGCCGCTGTACGGCGCACAGACACCGAGCTATGGCGGATCCCGCACGCCACACTACACGGGATCAGAGACGCCGCGCCTTGGCGGTCAGTTGCAGCCCCCTCCGATCGCACATGCTGTGGCGCGTGTGTCTGTCTGTCTGTGTCTGTCTGTCTGTGTCTGTCTGTCTGTTTGTCTGCCCACCTACTTGCCTGTGTCTGTGTCTGTCTGTCTGTCTGTCTGCCCACCTACTTGCCTGTGTCTGTGTCTGTCTGTTTGTGTGTGTCTGTGTATATCTGTGTGACTTGTGCTTCGCTGTTGGGGCTTCCAACTGCAACAATGGCAAACTGCATCCAACCGCTCGCTCACGAGCCCATGTGCGCTCGCCACTCCCCGCTTCACCACCATATGCCACTTGACATGACGACAGCGGAGACGCCTGGCAGCCGCACACCCGGGTACGACTACAACGACTCTGCGTGGAACCCCAACGTGCCCAACACCCCTGCCCCGGACACACCCGCCGGGAGAAGGTATTCGACGCGTGGTATTGCCCTGTCGTGATGTGATGTGTTGCGCTGGTGTCATGCTGTGGTGTGGAGTGTGTGCTGTGACATCACGTGTTCGGTGATGTCTGCTTCCTCGAACATCCATGCCATGCAAGCCTTCACACAATGAAACACGCTCACGTTCGTGTTCGGGTATCGTTTTTCGTTGGTAGCCCTGCCTTCCAGCAGACGGCCGAGTGGGACGTGTCCGATGTCACCAGCGAACCGGTGGGGCAGCCCTCGCGTGTATCTGTCTGCATCTGTGTGTGTGTGTTGCGTGTGTGTGTGTGTGTGTGTTGCGTGTGTGTGTGCGTGTTTCTGTCTGTCTGTCTGGTTCTGTCTGGTTCTGTTTTGTGCATGTTTGTGTCTTTGTCTTTTCATCTGCGTACATGCTTGATGCCGACATCAACCTATGATCCACTGCTATCGGCGTGATCTTCACGCCCCTTAACGTGACATGCTATTGTGTTGCTTCTCACCGCCGCCACCGCCACCGTCACCACCACTCCCTAGGCGAGCGTGCGTGCGGAGACACCCCACGCTGGGCCTGCCACCCCTGGGCAGCCGAACACCCCGGGAGACAGGAGCTACAACGCAGGTCTCCCACTCTCTGCCTTTTGTGTCTGTCTGTCTGTGTGTGTATCTGTGTGTCTGTCTGTCTGGCTGGGTGTAACAAGAGCCCGTTGTTACCGTCTCCTTTTATGTGTGTGTGTGTTTGCCTCTCACATTTTCTTGCTTGCGTACGTCCTGGGTTTGGTGCAGCCTTCACCCCGGCATGGGAGTCAGGATACAGTGGATCCACGCCAACCGCAGGAACGCCAGGTCGGCACACACAGTCACGCCCATGCCAGCGAATGCACACACTTTGCACAACACACGCACGCACTCACGCACACAAAACACATACACAACACAAGACAACACATACACATACACAACACACACACACGCACACCCTAATGATCCCTCTCCCGCCTCTTCAATGTGCACTCATCAGGCTTTGGTGCGCCAGCAACACCTGGCACGGGCTCCACCCCTGGCATGCCACCCGCCACCCCCGGCACACACATGCCTGCAACGCCCGGGGAGGCAGTCGGCACGAGCGGTGCTGGCGGTGCGCCGTGGCTCGTGCCAACCGTCTCCGTCCGCGTCGTCTCGTCCGGGCAGCAGGTACCGCGCTTCGTGATGATGATGATGATGATGATCATGGCCATGATGATGATGAGGACCACAATTGTGGTGGTTGTGGATGTGCACATGCGCGCTTGCTTGGCAGGGCACACGTTTTGTTGTTTTGCTCGGTTTTTTTTTTTTCCTGGTTCGGTACTTGTGACTGTGATGTCTTCTTTCCCCTCGAGCAATGAATGACTCAGTTTCGTGTGCATTCCCACGACCACCCCTACTTGTCGCTCACCGCCTCCACCATGACCACCATCATTGCTGTGCACACCGCTGCTTCCACGCATGAGCAGGGCACGATTTCAAATGTTGACGGCGGCAGCGTCTCTGTTGCGCTGGATGATGGCAGCGCCACCACCGCCCCCGCCGAGGACCTTACGCCCATCGACCCCGTCAAGAACGACCGGGTAAGCTCGCACACACGCGCACACTCGGATGTGGGGATGCGGGGAGGAGGAGGAAGGGGGCACGATTGTGTGTGTGTGTGTGTGTGTGTGTGTGTTTGTGTGTGTGTGTGTGTTGTCTCTTTCTCTCTCTCTCTGTGCCTCTGTGCGCGTGTGTATGTCTCTGTGTGCCTCTGTGTGTGTGTGTGTGTGTGTGTGTGTCTGTCTGTGTCTGTGTGCCTCTGTGTCTGTGTCTGTACGTTGACATGAACGTGCCCATATGCAACGCTTCTTCGTGTGCACGTGGCTGTCTTTCGATGAAGAGTTGGCGTTCTCACGCTACACCCCACTCCGCTCATCCACTTAACCCCCACTCCACTCATGCAATGAATCCCCGTACCCGTTTCCTTCCCCCCCCCCCCACACACATTCTGGCGTCGCACGTGTGTGCAGGTGTATGTGATGGAAGGCGACCAGCAGGGCATGCGTGGCATGCTCGTCAGCATCGACGGCGTGGAGGGCGTCGTCAAGGTGTGTTGCGCGCACCTGGTCCGCTGTTTTGTTCTTCTTGCCGAGAACGCTGCCCCACGCGTGCTTTGTCGATGCACTACGCGGCTTGCACATGCACAGATGAACGCACAACACACACGCACACGCACACACACAAAAATACTCACTCACATCACATCACTCACTCACTCACTCACTCACTCACTCACATCACATCACATCACACACACACACACTCACTCACTCACTCACTCACTCACTCACTCACTCACTCACTCACTCGCACTACCGACAGTTCTTTGATCCACCTTCGCTGAAGATTATCCCCATGGCCCAGCTGACGCGCTGCGCTGCCGACGCTGCCGCCGCTTAACGAGCACCTCCCCTATCTCCTTCACCCCTCATGCTTGTTTGTTGCTGATGGCGCTATTGTTTGCTGTGTTGTGTGATGTGTGCGTGTGATGTGTGCGTGTGTGCGTAGTGTGTGTGTGTCATGTGTGTGTGTGTGTGCTATGCGTCACCGCCATACACACAAGCAAGCAAGCGAACGGCGTTCACTCTTGTCGAGAGCAAGCAGAGAAGATCATGCCCACACACAGAGGAAGGGAGACACACACACACACACACACACACACACACACACACACACACACACACACACACACACACACACACACACACGCACGCACGCACAAACACACAGGAAAAATCCGAACCGGCGAAAATTAGAGTAAATTTTGAACCAATTTTCTTATTCCACCCTAAAGTTAGCTTCTTGTGCGAAACCAGGCGAAAGCAGGCAAGACATTCTCATTCGCACAAACACACGAAGCAGACGAACAAGGACGACCGAGCAAGAAGCGAAACCGACACATCCACAGCACCACAGCAGTGAGGGACTTCGACAGCTCTGCTCTGAGGCCTCCTCCCTCTTCTTCTCCGTCTTCGTCTCCCTCCCCCATCTTTGGCATCACTCCCGTAGTCGTGACATCGATCGTCCTTGCTTCGCCCTTGCTGTTCACGTCAGGCAGGAAGCAGCCGCTCGCCCAGTGTTCAACGGTTCCATTGTTGCTGTTGAATGTGAATGCAGCCCGTCACTGGTAACAACCCACCACAACCACAGCCACCACCCCGTCGCCGCCCACACCTTTCACCTCCGACCTTTCTCCTCCAGTGCACCACCATCCCACCGCCAACGCCACACTGGTCCTCACCACACCATTGGGGATGAGCAGGCGTCCGCCGATACAGACGGCGCCATCACGCAAGATGGTGTGTTTGCGTGTCCATGGATTTGCATGGTGTTCTGGGGTTTGCTTTGGGAGTGCACTCTGTGTGTTTTCGTTGCTGCCGTTTATTCGCTCGGGTGCACACCCGCTGCGTACGTGTGTGGTGCTTCCTCATCGGCCTCCACCCCTTGACCGCTGTCTCACCACTTTGCCCGACCTGTCAACAACACGCATCTGTCTTCTGCTGCTTCTTCTCGCTCTCTTTTGCTTTTTTTCCTATCCACTACGTTCCTTGCCTTGCATCTTTGTGCCTCAGGGACAAATCGTCAAATCCAGGCCACCACACGAGGCAGAAAGGCAGAAGCCAACATGGCGTGGCCTCGACCTCGAACGTGAGTGCTCACCGCGCCTGTGCTCTTTGTTGCTTGTCGTTTTTGACAGCACAGCGGTGGCGTGTTGTTGTGCGTGTGCACTGGTCGCATGGCGTCTGTTTATCCATATCACCTGTACTCTTCCTCACGCCGTTCATGCTCATGCCACAACCCTCACGCCACGGTTCACAGAAGCCGGGATCGTGGCCATCTCGCCGGCCCTGTTTCAGATGCAGCACCTGACCCACCTGTACTTGGCCCGCAACAGACTCACAACCATCAGCCCGGAGATTCGACACCTGCGGGCGCTGAGGATTGTTGACCTCTCCTACAACCGCCTGCGGTCCATCCCGCCGGCCTTTGGCGACCTCACAGAGGTTGGTGTGGGTCTGTGTGCATGGTTGTTGTTTTTTTGTGTGTGTGCATGTGTGTGTGTGCGTTTGTTTATTTGTTTGTGTGCATGTGTGTGTGTGTGTGACGCATGCCATTGCCCCCGCGTGAAGCACGTCATGCCCACCTCTGTGTGTCAATCGAGCGAGCGCATGCATACCCTGTCGACAGTCCATGCTAACTCGAGAGCGTTTGCTGCGGTGGTTGTTTGCTTTGGCTCTTGCTGCTGTGTCTGTGTCGTCGTGATCGACGCTACGCCTGTGCACTTGCTTCTTTTGACGCCGCAGTTGAACGAGTGCATGCTGTCTGGCAACGAGCTGTCCACACTTCCCTTTGAGTTTGGCAAGCTGTACCAGATCAAGTTCCTTGCGCTGGACAACAACCCCTGGACAGAACCCATTGCCTCGCACGTGGCAACCGGCACGGAGGCGCTCATGCAGTGGCTTCTCGACCAGGCTCCAAGTGCGTCACGTGTGTGCGTATGTGTGTGTGTGTGTGTGTGTGTGTGTGTGTGTTGTGTGCTCACATGCGTGTGCATTTATCCCCCCCCCCCACCACTTCAAGCCTTGTGCTCACATGTGTGTGTGTGTGTTTAGCTGGGCCGAGCCCGCCTGATCGGGAGTGGATTCAGCCAAAGGCCATTTCCCGGGCCGCACTCCAGCCCTACGAGAGAGGTGCAGCGGCATGCCTGCAACTGTGTGTCTGCATGTCGGCTTGTCTGCGTGGGTGTGCACGTGAGAGTGCGCATGGCTGACTCACGATGACGGCAGTTGTACTCCCTGGTTCGTCGCTCACTCTCTCGTTTTTCTTGCTCCTTGCCTGTCTTGTCTCACCTCTTTTTGCCTCTTGTCGAATGGGGGGGGGGCGCAGCCAAACGCGACAAAGTCAGCGTGTTTTGCTACAACATCCTCTGCGACAAATACGCGTCGCGCAACATGTTCAAGTGCGTAGCTTTCGGTCATTGTGATGTGTGCCTGTGTTGGGAGGGGACAACGAGGTGGCCATGGTGACACGAACGCTGAGAGAAAGAAGGGGTTCATGCCTCGACCCTCTTTGCGCACACACGCCCACACCATTTTCGGCGACGAAGTGCCTCACAAGTCTGCTGCTGCCGATGTTGCATGTGTTGCCGTTGTTGCATGTGCCGCAGGTACTGTCCGTCGTGGGCGCTTGCGTGGGAGTACCGGAAAGGAAAGATCCTCACCGAGCTCGCAAACTCCAAATGCGGTGGGACATTGGAAGAAGGGGAAAGGAGTGTGCGTGCGTGTGTGTGTGTGTGTGTGAGGGTGTGTGTGTGTGTGTGTGTGTGTGAGGGTGTGTGTGTGTGTGTTGTGTGTGTGTGTGTGTGTGTGAGAGAGTGAGAGAGGATGTGCGTGTGCGTGTGCGTGTGTTAAATGCAACGAGGAGAAGTGGATATGTGCGGTGACGAGGTTTGTCGAGTGCAACATTGCCGAATGCCAAACCGATACGGGTCACCGCACAGCCACCACACTGTGCACAGTGATGCTTGCTTCACATGCCACTCACCTTCTCAACACATGTCTTTCTCTCTTTGTTCATTTGCTTGCTTGTTTGTTTGTTTGGTTGTTTGTTTGTTTGTTCGTTTATTTATTTGTTTGTTTGTTTGTTTGTTTTCTCGGCGCCCCTTGCTTGCCTCAGACATTCTGTGCCTGCAAGAGGTGTCCAAGTCTGAGTTTTACCAGTACTTTCTCGGGCAGCTGCAGAAGGAGGGCTACCACGGCGCCTTCAAGTCAGTCTCATGCTGATGTGCTCACACACTCGCATTCACTCTTGCACACAAACACACACATGCATATTCATAGATATACACACATGCACACACACACACACATGTGCATCATCATCTGTGGCACCCACCACCGTGATTCTTTGTTGGCTCATCGTTGTGTCTTGTCACATCTGCGTACGTTTGCACGTCTGTGCGTGTGTGTGTGTGTGTGTGTGTGTGTGTGTGTCTGTCTGTGTGTGTGTGTGCGGCGGTTTAGGGTGAAGACGCGGGCCGCGTATCAAGCTGACGAGACAATTGACGGCTGCGCAACCTTCTACTCAACGTGAGTTCAACCAAGATACACGCACGTGTGAATGGACATGCTTGTGGTCGAGGTTGAAGTCTTTGGGCAACCAACCATCCCTGTGCTTCACGCTGCAACTCTGCTCACTCATTTGGTGTGTCACCTGCTCTACACGCGCGTTCACACATACACACATGCACACACACACGCACGCACGCACGCACGCACACACACACACACACGCATGTGCACCTGCACGCCCACCCGTGATTGCGGACAGCAAAACGTACAAGATGCTGTATGAGCACGGCATTGATCTGCAACAGCTCTCCGTGGCCAACAGCAACGGCTGCAACACCGTCATTGACAGATGCATGCCAAAGGTGTGCGCACTCGTGACGGTGGCGGTTGTGAATGGTGGTCGCTGATCTTTACTTTTCCCTTGTTTCTCTCTTGGTTCTCTCTCGGCTCTTCATTTGTTCTCTCTTGTTGCGGCTTACACCCACTCACTCACGCACGGACTTCCACTACCCTTGTCCTGGCCTTTTTTTTTTTTTTTTCTTCTGTAGGACAACGTGGCGCTGTTTACGGTGTTTGAGCACGCTGTGACGAAGAAGCGCGTGTTTGTGGCCAATCTGCATTTGACGTGGGACCCCCACTTCAGCGACGTGAAAGTGGTGCAGATTGTGCTCGCCCTCAAGGCAATCAGGGAGTTTCTCCAGGAGAACAAGCTGCTCGAGTGAGTCAGCGAAGGGAGAGCGGATGTGTGTGTGTGTGTGTGTGTGTGTGTGTGTGTGTGTGTCTCTGTGTCTCTGTGTCTCTGTGTCTGTGACTGTGTCTGTGACTGTGTGTGCGTGTTAATTTGTGTGTAGAGGGCTGTGGAAATGCCGGAGGAGGGTTGCTTGACGACCGCCTTCACTCACTGTGGCACACCTCGCCCGTTGGCGAATGCAGCGTGCCTGTGATGCTGATGGGCGACTTTAACTCCATGCCAGACAGCGGCGTGTACGAGTTCCTGGCCACGGGCAAGGTGCGGTACCATCCACATCACACACAAACGCAAACATGCTGTCTGTCTTGAACGCCGCGTTGATGTGTTCGTGGCGGTGACACTGCTGCTGCTGGGCAATGTGCTATTGTCGGTTGACACACCGAAGAAACACCAACAACAACAACAACAACAACAACAACAACAACAACAACAACGAGCTGAAGCTGCACACCGTGCAGTCAGGCGTGTGATGTACCTCGTGAACTCACCACATTCCCCAACTCTTTCCCCTCTCCCTTCTCTTCCTTGTCTTGCTCCTCAATGGCGTCAACCAACACCACAGATCAACCCGAACCACCCGGATATGCAAGGCTACGACTACAAGGCGTTTTTCGACAGCGTGGGCACAACGCACCCGTTCAAGCTGCGGTCCGCGTACACAACAGAGATGCAGTACACAAACAAGACGGCAGGCTTTGTCGGCATCATCGACTACATCTGGTCAGTGTTGCGTGTGTGTGTGTGCGTGTGTGTGTGTGTGTGTGTGTGTGTGTGTGTGTGTGTGTGTGTGTGTGTGTGAACTTTGTGTCGTCGCGGTGATGAACGCTGTGTGCGTGACGCGTTTGCTGCAACTCGCCTACATGCTGGTTGACCTGTTACTTGTCGTCCCTTTGTACCTTGTTGATGTGCGTGACAGGTACACGGAGGGGTCGCTGCTGCCGCAAGCTGTGTGGGGACCCGTCGACGAGGTGAGGGCCATGCCACGCAATGATGATGGTGGTGGTGGTTCGTGCCGTGTCGCTTCAATCGTTATGGGGAGACTTGTGCGCAAAAGTGGTGTTGTTGTCACGATGTTCGCACGCACGCACGCACGCACGCACGCACGCACTCTGCTGACGCCAACTTGCTTCTTCCCCCCCCCCCCTTTGCTTTGTGCCTTCCCTCTCCCATTGCTTCGTTCAGTCATACATGGACCGGGTGTCTGGCTGCCCGAACCCCCATTTCTCCTCCGACCATCTTGCGCTCGGAGCCAAACTTTACTTGAAGTCCTGAACACACGCACACACACCACACGCACACGCACACGCACTCACGGGCGTGAATGCACACCTTGTGTGTCTGCTGCGTGCTGGCAATACCTGTGGTTGTGAAGGAGGGACGTGGATACGCGAACCGGAAGTTGTTGTTGTTGTTGTTGTTGTTGTTGTTGTTGTTGTTGTTGTTGTTGTTGTTGTTGTTGTTGTTGTTGTTGTGCTCGTTGTTTGATGTGACCTGGTTGTGTTGTTTAATGTCGTCCATCGTTGTTTGGGACAATCCGTGCTCTGTGTTGAGTGTCGCTGTTCGCTGTTGCTTGCTGCACTTTCCCTGCTTTCGTTTCTTGCTTGTTTTATGTCTGATCCGTCGCCTTTAACCGACCAGACCCGCTCGTGCACATATCCTCCTTGTTCGCTTTCCTTCCTCTTCCTCTTCCCCGCTTTGTGTGTATCTGGTTGTTTATGGTGACCCATTGTGTGAGGGACGCGATTGTGGTTGTTGTCCTGTGCGACTGCGGCTTGCACTCATGACGCATCAGACAGACCCACGTACCGTACCGTCGTTGTCCCCCCCCCCCCTCTCATTGTCGTGTCGCCTCTCTGTGTCACATCTTTGTTTTGCTGGGCTCGCGAGCCCTTCTTTACCGTGCTGCTCGTCTCCCAGCCCGAGTGCCGTGTGCTTTTGCTTGTGCACTCGTTTATTTGCTGCCAACCCCCCCCCCCCTCCCTTGTCGCATCTCACCTCATCCCTCTATCTTCCTTGCCATTTGTCCTTCCTTCCTTCCTTGGCCTTCCTTCCCCCTTTCTTCCATTGTTCTTGCCATCCATCTTTCCTCCCTCGCTCATCAACTCCCTCATCCCCTCTCATTCCTCTACGCCTTTCACCTTGCCCTTGTTTTCTCTTTCTTGCCTGTCTCCATGTTGCTTGTCTTCCCTCCTCTTCCTCCTCCTCTTCTTTGTGTGTGCGTTGTGTGTGCCTGTTGCCCTCACGCCACACGTCGGTGTAAACCGCCCCAGCCAAGCCCGAGACACCGAGACACACAGGCGCGCCCACCACAGAGAGACAGGAAGGGGGAGGATCGTGTCTCACACATCAACGTCAAGAGGCATCCATCATTGGTTGGGAGGAAAGAAGCAAGCAACAAGCAAGAGGGGAACTTTCGTCAATTCACACACAAAACACAGAGGCAAAAGCAACGCTGCTGCAAACAACGCTGCTGACCATCACACACATCCACCAACCACAGACCCGCCAACCAGGACGCACACGCACACGCACACGCAGATGGACCGTGGCGGGAGAAGACGGTGCGTGAGCGAGGGCACGGCTGTGCCCCACGCGTACCGGATTGACAATGGAACAACAACAAACCACCATGATCTCCATCACCCACAGCCGCCAACCAGCACCGTCGGGACCGAAGGCGTCGCAGACCCGGGCAGCCCAAGCACCTTCGTCGTCCCCGTCAGTACGTCGGCTTCGACCACCACCACCACCACCCCATATGGCTCTGCAACGACGTCACAATCAAGCACCACGCCGCACCACCACCACCAACAACAACAGACATACCAACAGCAACAGCAACAACAACAGCAACACCAGGCTGGTGTGCCCGAGCGTGAACGCCAAGGGTCCGCGTACAAGCTGCTGCAGCACCTGTTTGACGTGTGGAGGCCACGAGGCAGCCAAACCCCACCTCCGTCCTCTTCACCGTCGTCGTCCACAACAGCGAGTCCCGCATCTGCTGCCGACCAACGCAATGGCAGCAGTGGCAGCGGTGCTGACGACCACGCCAATGACGCCGCCGATGATGACGACGACACGGGATACGGTAGCCGGTCAGGCCGCACGCGGTCGTACACCATTGGTCCCTCCAACCCTGCGAGGACATCGTCGACACCCGTGCTGTCTCGGCAAGAGCTGCTCGACCTGCTCTCTCCCACGAAGAAGCCGCCGCCGCCATCATCCACACAGGCCACCCGGTCATCGTCGTCGCCAGTCATACAGCCTCCGTCGCACCCAGGAGGAACAACGGCACAAACACCGCCCTCAGCCACCAGTGGCTCTGGTTCGCTGCCCACAACACCCCATGCTGTCCCACATGCCGATACAACCACTGCAGCAACCACGGCTGCAGCGACAGGCAAGATGGAGGCTGGCCCGCCCCAGTCGACGTCGGCGCCAGCAACGACCCCGACCACACCCGCCCGCGGGAAGAAGCGCAATGTTGTGGAGGAGGATGCGAGAACCGTGCTCTCTTGGTCAGGCCTTGACCTCGGCTAACGCCAACAATGTTTCTGTGTGTGTGTGTGTGTGTGTGTGTGTGTGTGTGTGTCTGTGTCTGTGTCTGTGTCTGTGTGTGTGTGTGTCTGTGTGTCTGTGTCTGTGTGTGTCTGTGTGTGTGTGTGTGTGCGTCTGTGTGTGTGTGTGTCTGTGTGGGCAGGTGTCTGTGTGTGTGTGTGTGTGTGTCTCTTTCTCTCTGTCTCTCTGTCTCTCTGTGTCCCTTTCTCTCTGTCTCTCTGTCTCTCTGTCTCTCTTCTGTCTCTCTGTCTCTCTGACCAATTCTTTGACCACCTCTGCCCACCCGTCTCTCCTCAGCCTCTGTCTTTGTCAATTTACCTCCTCTGCGTCACTTTGCTGTGCCGCAACTCACCCTACCCCTTTGCTGGACAGTTGATTCTGTTGCCCTCTTCTCCCTCCCCCCCCCCCCAAATGCACGCACTTTGACCTCCTCCATCTCCTTCGTTTACCCACCCCCTGTGTGTCCTCTTTCCTTTCCATCGCTTCTTGCGTGGTGAATGCCTGACTCCACAACCGCATTGAATATGCGATGAGTACTGATTCTATTTGTTGTGCCCCATCCTTGCGTGCTTGTGTTACTATTGCCGTCGAATGTGCCTGCCCCTGTGCTTGGGCGTGCGCTTGTGTGCACCCTCCTCCTCCTCCTCCTCCTCCTCCTCCTCCTTCTCTTCCTCCTTCTTATTCTTCTTCCTGCATATGCCCATGCCCTTCCGTGTCTTGTTGTGCAAGCGTGATTCCCTGTCTTCCCCCCCCCTACACGCACACACACACGCACACACACACACGCACACACACTCACACGTACCTTTGCTGTTGTGATGTTGTGACTCTCCCTACCCCCTGCCCCTTGACCCACCCCCCCCCCTCCTCTCGCAAACACCATCAGCGCCCATTGCGCATTGCAACCCCCCCCCCAACTTGACCCCAAATACAACGTGTCCATATCACTCAATTCTTATGAGCATTGTCGGTGGCGCTTGCCCCAAACAGCACTCGCACCCCATCACACATGCACGTGCACCCCATCACACATGCACGTGCACCCCATCACACAGCACTCGCACCCCATCACACATGCACGTGCTACCAACAGCACATCGTGCCAGTGCCGCTTCACGGTTTACATTCATGTGTACGCTCATGTACTGTTTCGAGTAAGAGGAAACAAACAAGATGCTTATGACAGGGGAAGAACAGGAGAAAGAGGTATGCCATGACCATAAAGTCGCAGACTGTCACGTACCGTGGTGGCACATTACATAACACAAGCAAGGAAGCAAAGAAGCATCATAACAGACATGTAACACAACAACAACACCAGAGTTGAGGCTCCAAAACACATACAGACTTACAGACAGAATGCAACAGAATGCACGATCCTGTGACTGCTTCTGAGTTCCATCACAACCAACACGCAGGACGATAGGCGAAGGGGGTGTCCCGCACAATCATCATGATGCCACCACACTCAAGAGCGCGACGCAAACCCGTCTCAACTCATCCAGGCATCCTGCAACGAGGAGGGCAGTTGGTCAGGGTGACATGGTCGTCGGCGCAAACGCACGAGCCAAGGTGCTGGCAGTCGATGTGGGTGAGCGGCCCAGCGTTATCGAGCTCAATGCGACCTGCAATGCTGGCGATGCGACCGAAGGTGATGGTGTGCAGGTTGTTGTTGCGCAGCACCAGGTCACCGTCAATGGCCACCAACCCGCCAAAGTCGATTCGCGTGATGGCGTTGTTGGAGAGGTCGAGCGTGCCGGCGATCGTGGAGGGCGCGGGTGTGCTGAAGGTGACGCTGGTGATGGCATTGTCGGTGGCATGCACACTGCCACGCACGTCTGTGAGCTGTGCAAAGTGCAGCTGCGTCAGCCTGTTGTCGGCAAGAAACATGCTGCCGTCAACACGACGCAGGCCGTCAAAGTCAATGCTGGTGAGGTTGTTGCTGAACAGGTACACACTACCGCCAATGGAGGTGATGGGTGCAAAGCTGATGGTGGAGAGCGCCGTGTCATATATGTCAAGATAGCCACCAATGCGCTCGAGCTGCCCAAAGTCAATGCCGGTCAACTTGACGCCTGGGAGGTGCAGCCCACCCGAGATACTCAGCAGGGACGCAAAGTCAATGCGCTGGAGGTTGCTGTTCCCTTGCAGGTTGACGTATCCGCTCACATGCGTGACCGCGCCAAACGTGATGCTGGCAAGGTCGTTGTTCACCAGATCCACGCTCCTCTTCACGTACTTGATGCGCGTGCCAAAGTCAACTGCGCGCATGCTGCCTGAGGTCAGGTCAAGCCCGCCCAACATGCCGTCGTTGAGAGTGGTGGCCGCTGCGTCCGTGATGTGGATGTGCGCCCCCACGTCTGCGAGTTCGCCAAACGCGAGCGCCTGCAGTGGATTGCCGGTCAGGTCAACCTCGCCCCCGATCATGGAGAGGGACTGAAAGTCGACGGTGGTGATGCTGTTGCTGCTGATGCTCAGCCACTGCCCGACGTGTGCGAGGGACCCAAAGTCCACTGCCGTTAGCATGGCGTTGCTGCCCACCTCAACACAGCCCAGGACCGTGCTCACGTTGCGAAAGCTCAATGACGGTAGCGACGTGCCACGAACAACGACGCTGCCAGCCACGGTGTGCAGGGCGCCAACGTCCACCTCTGCCAGCGCGTTGGCACAGCAGATGACAATGTCACCGCCAACCATGGTGACCTGGTTGAACGTGAGCGACACCAACGCACTCGTGCCAGTGCCGGGGACAGAGGTGCTGGTAGCAGAGGGACGTCGTGTCTTGTGGATGCCATCATGTGCTGATGCCGTTGTTGGTGTTGGTGGTGTTGGTGTTGGTGTTGTTGGTGTTGGTGGTGTTGGTGTTAGTGTTGTTGTGGTTGGTGTGGGTGTTGTTGTGGTTGGTGTGGGTGCGAGTCGTGGAAGGGCACGCGTGCTGGCTGTGGTAGGGTTGTGATTATCGCCATCATCTGGATCCCAGGACGTATCGACCGTGTTATCATCGTCAATACCATTGTCTGTGCCTGCGTCTGCGCTATTGTCCTCACCCGCATCAGCAGCGGTGTTGGTGTTGAAGCTGTCGCTGAGGGTGTTATCGTTGTCCAAGCTGCCGCTACCGTGAAAGCCGGGAACGTGCGCAAGCCATGCCCCACCGTGGCCGTGGCTGTGGCCTTGATCAGCCCCACCACCCCCACCATGCCCATCGTCGCCGCCGCCACCGCCTTCGCTGGCACCTTGAGTGTCAAACTGACGATAGGCGTCAAGCGCAGCGCCCGTCACAACGACGCTCCCGCCAATAGAGGTGATGGACCCAAAGTCCACCGCTGTCACACTGCTGTCGACGTACACATCCCCAAGCACACGCTGCAGGTGCGCAAACTCCGGACACGCAGCGTTGAGGAACACGGACGAGGCTTCCACCACGCCTTGCGACGCGAACAGGGCACGGCTCTGCTGGCACGCGCAGTCAAGGACAGGGGGTGTGCGCGCGCTTTGCGAGGTGGCAACATGCACGCCAACGCCAATGCTGCCAGCAACGACAACCATTGTGATGACCACCGCTGCCAGGACGCACGGGCGGGTGGCAGCCCACGTCGGAGACTTCTGGCGCGACGAGAACTGCGACGGGAACAGCGATGATGGTGGTGACGATGATGGTGGTGGTGGTGGTGGTGGTGGTGTTTCTGCTGCTGATAATGGTGTCGCTGCTGTTGTCGATGCTGACGCTCGGTGTGGTGATGGCTGTGGTATTGCTGCTGTTGTCGATGCACGTGCTTGTGCTGGGGAGTGACGTGATCGCTGGGACTGTGCTGACAGCATTGTTGGTGGCGATGACGGGGAGCGAGTAGTACGTGAGGAGGTCAGAATCGACCACAGGCGAAACGACGTCCGTGCTGTGCGCGTGGTGCTCACACTTCTACGCGTGGTGGACGCTGTTGCTGCTGTTGCTGAGGCTGTTGCTGTTGATGGTGATGATGACGTCGGTGCATCCTGTTGAAAGATGCTTGCGGGCAAGTCTGATCCGTAAGCAGCAAACACGCCCAGATCGCTCTCAGACATGCCTGTGGAAAAGTCCAGCTGTGCAATGTACGTGTCGTATGACTCCTTTGGTGCTGCGTCAACATCCGTCTCGCCAAACCCTTCCAGCTCAACCATGTTGCCCAGCTATGTGCGTGTGTGTGTGTGTGTGTGTGTGTGTGTGTGTGTGTGTGTGTGTGTGTGTGTGTGTGTGTGTGTGTGTGCAAGAGGGAGTTGGTGAGGGTGCTCTGGATGGATCCACAAGAAGAGAGCGCAGCTGCAAGCAATCCGGCGTGTGCAAACTGTCAAGATAGACGTACAAATGCGCACACACGCACACATACACACCACAAACAACAGCACGCACATACAAGGAAACACACTCACACGCACACAACGCGCAAGCCTGTTTGCGTTTGCTTGAAAGTGCACGCATAGTCATTCGCACCTCACAGGACATGGTTTCGCTGTGTTCTTGCAAGTGTGCAATAACGCCGAGAAGCGTGGTGCACGGCTGTGAGAGCCGCTGTCCATCCATCATGTACAGGCCCCGCGGGTCGCGGTGGAGGGTGTGGTGCTCGATGCGATGAGGTGTCACCGCCTGATTCGCACAACACCATGCGTGTGTTTGTGTTTGTGTATGTGTGGGTGTGTGAGTGATATCAGGACGGTGTCGACGCAAGCTGAGGTGTCTTCTTGCCGCCACATGACAGACACACACATACAGAAACACACACACATACACACACGCATACACACGCATACACACGCGCATACACATGCATGCACATACACATGCAAGTACACATACACATGCAAGTACACATGCCAGCACACTTACATACACAAGCAACTGACCAGGGTGATGATGGGCTCTTCACTGCTTGGGTGCTCGCGAATGATAAAGGCGCCGGGTTGTGGTCGAATCGTTATGAGTCGCAGCTCTGCTTCATCGCACGACATGGAGGGAAGCAGGGGTAGGGAGAAGGGGCCCGGTACATACGCGGGTTCGCTTTGCACACACGCTGCCGCTGCTGCGCGTGGCGCGACAATTTGCTCCTGCCGATGTTTCAAGTGCTGCTGGTGTTGTTGTTGCTCCGGCTGGGCACGAGGAAGCTGCAGTTGCGAGTGCCCATGTGCCTCTTGTGGCAGACACTGCTGTTGACGTTGTAGATGTGGTTGACGGTGGTGGCGCTCCTCTTGCGTTCCTTGTTGCGTTCCTTGTTGCGTTCCTTGTTGTGTTCCTTGTTGCGTTCCTTGTTGTGTTCCTTGTTGTGTTCCTTGTTGTGTTCCTTGTTGTGTTCCTTGTTGCTGTGCTTCGTTCACCAACAGGCCATGTTCCGCCAGCCCACCAACTGCCAGCCCTTCATCGTCCTCGCCTTGATCCTGCAGCAAGCGCTGCTGCTGCTGTTGCTGGTCTTGCAGTAGGTACTTTTGTTGCTGTTGCTGTTGGTGGTGTGTGTGGACCACACCGTATCCGACGTCACTCACGTTGCTCAGGCCGCTCACGCCGCTTTCAGCACTGCTTCCAAGAGGGTAGAAGAAGTGGTTGCGGGGAGGGTAGTTGAAGTAGTGGTTGGCATCCACATGCTGCTGTTGGGCCTGACCAATGGCAAGGTGCGGTTGGGCATGGGAAGGGGGTGGCTGTTGATTGCCATCTCTGGCACGCGCGCTGCCTGAGTGCTGTGACTTGAAGGCAGCACCAACTTGCACGCATCCGCTCTGCTGCTGCTTCAGCTCCAAGAACTCCATCGTGCTGGGATTTGCGTGCTTGCTCGTGTCAGGTGGTGTGTCCACCTCTGCCTGTCCGATCGCGGTGTCCTCGATGTCGCCTGTACCAGCGTGCAGAGCGTGCCTTGCTTCGTCGCATCCGAGAGCCTCGACGTAGGTTTCGAGGGTCTGCGGAAGCGGGTGGTTGGTGTCGTTGTTGCCGTTCCCATATGCTTCTATTGCCAAGAGTCGTTCAGCAGCAAGTGGTGACTTGCAAGCCGCAAAGCCATCCAAGCTCTCGCCTGACATCTAGGCCCGATTGTCTGTGTATGTATGAAATGCTCTGGTTGCGCTGTACCAAGAGCTAAAGGAGAACGGGCTTTCGAAAGACTCAAAGAGGACAATGTAGGTCAAATCAAACGCCCAGCAAGAAAGAGTGTGTGTGAGTGTGTGCGAGTGTGTGTTGGATATGAAAGTGCTGTGCTGACACGGTGTTGAATGAGAGTGAATGAGCACCCTGTGTGATCGTGTGTGTGTGTGTGTGTGTGTGTGTGTGCGCGCGCTTGGAAGCGAGAATGGGTGCAGGTTATCGCACGCCCTGCGCGCTGCATCTGCATTATGACCACGGCAGCAACCAACCAAGCAACTAACCCAATCCTGCTCGTTTTCCTTGCGTGACTGTCTGGCCGGTCTGACTTGTTCCAAGGTCTGAAAGCTGACGATGATGTCATCCGTGTGTGATTTTTCGTGGGAGAAGTTGCAAATTGTCGTCTCATCGTGCGGGTTCGCTGGTAGGCTGGCTTATTGTGCAAATGACACTTTCGCGCAGACCTGCATCATACCCTCGAGAAGGAGAGACCTCACAGGGATGTGCACATTGGGCGTGGTGTTGGTGGTGGCTTGCCTGGCAGTAGTGGTGGTGGGTTCAACTGCAGCCGCTCAGGGCGAAACCAACCATGCGTGCGCTGACCTCACGCACGCTCTGCATGAAATGGCAGTCATCATTGATGCACTAGGAGCTGCAGTGAACGTGTCCAGCAGCCAGAGCCCTGGCATGCTCGTCACTGCGCTACGCGAACAACACTTAACATCAACAGCTCAACTGTCAACACTCTGCGTCGTGCGCCAACGGCGCAACACAGCAACGGAAGACAGCGTCAACAGCACCAACAGCACCAACATCACCAACAGCACCAACAGCACCAATGCAGCCAACAACGGCACCAACAACGACGCCAACCCTAACAGCACCAATGCCAGCACCAAGAGCAATCTCAGGGCTGAAGACAGTGCCACGACAACACCGGGGACGACGTCGGCTCCGACCACACCCGTCTCTGAAACAACCACAGTCGACCCGGCAACACCCCAAGGCACCGAGCAAGTCCAAGTGAATTGGTGTCGGATTGATTGGGTGTTGACGGCACAATGTCATCTGCGAACGCCCCCAATCCCACACGGCGCACTGATCATCGAGTTTAACACCTTTGGCCAGGCAGCAAGCCGAAGCGCAAACACCAAGCCCACAGAGGCAACCGCGGCCGCGTTTCGTGCTTTGATAGACGACTACCAGCCACGCAACCTCACCCTGCGCAGCACACAACGCATCACAAGCCAGGGAGCAAGCATCTTCCCCTCCGATTTGGTGTGGGTGCTGAACGAGGCCAACTGGGACAGCGTGTCGAACCTGAGCATCAGCGGGCTTGTGAGCACAACCTTTGCCCTCAATTCACTAAACCACTTCCCAAACCTGACCACCTTGTCCATCGCCGGCAACCGCATCAACCAGCTCACCATCACAACTGAGAGGGACCCCAGCCCTTTTGCAGCCACGCCTCATCTGGAGGTGCTTGATGTGCGTGACAACAGCCTGTCTCGACTCCAGCCGACGTTGCTGCGCGGCATGTCGAGCCTGCGCGTGCTCAACCTCACCAATAACTACATCACCGCGATCGAGGCTGGCGTGTTCCGCGACACAACGGCCCTGCAGCACCTGTGGCTCTCCCTCAACCACATCAGCCGCATTGACCCCGGCGTGTTCACGGGGCTGCGCCACCTTTGCAACCTCACGCTGCAGGACAACCAGCTGCGGACGTTGCCAGAGTCCGCATTCCACGGCGCCACCCAGTTGCATCGGCTCATTCTCAGCAACAACCCGCTTGACGAGCTACCGCCGCTGCTGCTGGCCAACGGGGCCAACCTACGGGTGTTTGAGGCCGCAAACACCTTCTTGGATGCCTTGCCTGAGCAGCTGTTTGCCGCAACAGCCCGACTGCACCGGCTCGTTCTCATGAACGCGCGCATCACGCAGATGCCTCCCAGGGTCTTCAGCAACCTTGGCTCGCTGTACTACCTCTCCATGAGCGGGAACCGAATGCTTCAGCTCCACCCAGACCTATTGCAGGGGTTGAATCAGCTGCGCCGCGTTTTCTTTAGCCGCAACAGACTCACGTCGCTTCCGGCTGGCTTTTTCAGGGACCAGCACAACCTCACCTACGTGGGCTTTGGCCACAACCTCCTTCAGGTGTTGCCATCCACCCTGTTCGAGAACAACGCAAAGCTGGCCTTCATCACCCTCAACGGCAACAAGCTGACAGACGTCCCCGTGGCAATGCTGCGCAACAAGCCGGAACTCGCGTCGCTCTACCTCACCAACAACTTGCTCACCGGCCTTCCCGTCCACGCGCAGGCGCCAAGCAACAGTGGTGCACCGGACGCCACGACAGCCGGCATTGCCTTGCCCAGCTTGCAGATCCTTGACCTCTCCTTCAACCCGATTGAGGTCCTGCCGCCCCCGCACGTCATGCCAAACCTGACCACGCTGCGCGCCATCCACCACCGCATGTCTACCATCCACATGACGCCGCTGCTGTCGCTGCGCAGGCTCACGCGGCTTGAGCTCGCCTCAGACCCGGCCCGGCCCACCAGCGCGCTCGCCTTCACCGCGGAGGAGGCGGAGCACGACACGGCGCCGCCAACCCTGCGCTTCTTGGACCTGCGCAACGTCGAGCTGTCCACGGCGTTTGTGCAGTTTGCGTACCAGCAGCAACTGCGGCTGCGCCACATCAACCTGGGCTGGCCCGGCATGAGCGATCGCACCGCGCCCATGGCGCAGATCTGCGACCTGCTCGACCGGGAAGTGGAGTACGTTGGCTTGCACAACACGGCGTACCGGCGCATTGAGCTGTGCCAGGACAAGCGCATCCTCTCTGTCGGGCTGGAGGACAACCCGCGCCTGGAGCACCTCACCTTGCTGCACAACCTGAACCGCCTCAACGTGTCTGGCTGCACCAGCCTCCGCGACATGACGCTGCTCTCCGCTGACATCCTGGACATCAGCGGCACCCGCCTCATGTTCCAGCCGCCACTCTGCGACACGTGGGGCACACGTGTTGTTGTGGCCAGAGGGATTGCGCTTGCCAGCAACCACGCCTTGGAGGATGTCGGCTCGCACATCCAGCACTGCCTGTCGCACGTGGAGCTCCTTGACCTGTCCGACAACGGGTGGCTGAACCAGGTGCAGCTGGTGGAGACGCCGCCCATTGTGGTGTCTGACGTGCCGCACTGGTCGGAGGACTTTGGGTTGGATATCGCCAGCAACGCCATCGTGCCCGTGTTTGTCATCAACGCAGGCAAGGTGTCGTGCACGCTTCAGTTGGGCGAGACGCAGGCGCGCCCGCGCACAGACAACGAGCGCATCACCACGGAGGTCACGTTCCAGTTCAACTGCAGGTGCGCGCAGCGGTTTGTGCAGCGCGACGGCAAGTGCGTGCCGGACGAGCTGACGACCGGCGAGATTGCTGCCATCTCCATGGGCGTTGTGATGGTGGTGGGCGCGGTGCTGGCGGTGGTGTACCAGCACTACCGCCGGCGGCGACGCACTCTCGAGGTGGAGAACAAGACCGTGTACTCGCACCTGCTGGAGAAGGAAGAGGAGGTGATGGCGCTGAAGAAGGTATGGGAGATTGACTTTGGGGAGCTGCACCTCGTCACGCGCATCGACAAGGACTCCGAGGGCGCGTTTGGGGAGGTGTGGCTGGCACGCTGGGACGAGCTCACCGTGGCCACGAAACTGCTCAAGCGCTCCGTGCTGCTGTTTGACGAGTCGCAACGCGAGGAGTTTGAGAAGGAGGTGGAGTTCCTGCAGCGGACACGGCACCCGCACGTGGTGCGGTTCTTCGGTGCGGGCACGGATCCGCATGGCAGCCCGTTCCTGGTGCTGGAGTTTGTGGCGATGGGGTCGCTGCAGGCGCTGCTGCGGCGTGACTTGGCGCAGGTGCTGGTCCGCGCGGCTTCAGAGGCAGACGTGCGGCCCAGCACAAGCGACACCCTGACGATTGCGGAGACTGAAGAGGAGGTGATGGTGCAAGCGGCGTCGGCGCACGCACCAGCGGATGTGTGGGCGCTCAAGCTTCGTTTCGCCCGAGACGTTGCCTGTGGCATGGCCTTCATCCACAGCCTCGGCCACGTGCACAGGTGTGTGGTGGGGGTGCTTGTGAGCTTTTGTGTGTATATATATGTGTGTGGGGGGGGGGGGGAGATTGTTTGTTTGAGTGTGTGTGTGGGGGGGGGGGAGATTGTTTGTTTGTGTGTGGTTTCTGCTACTGGTCGTGATACGATTTCCTCATCTTGCGGCGACACACACGCACACACGCACACACACACGCACATACACATGCACATGCCCCACACACACGCACATACACATGCACATGCACGTGCGCATGCAGAGACTTGAAGAGTGGGAATGTGTTGGTGTCGAGTGCGCTCCGAGCCAAGATCTCCGATTTCGGATGTATTCGAGAGGTGTTGACGCAGGGTCAAAGGCAGCAGCAACAGCAGCAGCAGCAGCAGCAGCAGCGACTGGCACATGGGGTCATGCCAGTGGATGCGGTGCAGTCGCCAACGCTAACGGTTGGCGTGGGTACGCCGCTCTACATGGCCCCTGAAGTACTAGCTGGTCGGGAGTACGACGGCAAGGCTGATGTCTTCAGCTTTGGGGTGCTGCTGTGGGAGGTGGCGATGCAGCGTGTACCAGATCTGGTTGAGCAGGAGCTTGGCCCGGGCAAGCGCGGCTGCTTTTCGGTTCACATGTTAGAGCTGCTGACACAGGGCAAGCGACTCAAGTTTACCACGACAAGCAGTGACGCCAAGGAGAACGTTGCCGAAGGCATTTCCACGCCACTTGGCGATGCTTCCACGACAGTGAGGGAGCTGCAGCGCCCAGCGACAAGAGCGACAGGTTTGTCTTGCCCAACCCTGTCACTGTTTGCGGCTGTCGCAGACTCGTGTGTGGCGCACACGCCTGCCAATCGCCCTGCCTTTGAGGAGTTGGAGAAACGATTTCGTGAGGCGCTGATGCAGGGTGTGGCTGGCCAGTGAAGCAGAGAGCTGGGGCGGGCTTGAGGGCTTGGGAAGCGGTGTTGAGTGAAGGAGTGAAGGAGTGAGGGTTGGTTTTCTTGAATGAGGGGTGTAAGTGCAGAGTGTGCTCTTCTGCGTGACATTAAAAGATGACGAAACGATTTGATGCACAAATAACCAATTCTTCTTATCTCTGCTTGTTGGACGTGGATGTGTGTTGGCTTTACGCGCCACAACCACGAAGCAACTGGACCAGCCTCACACAAACCTCCTCCCCCGCTTCAGTCTCAGCTCTTGTGTCGGGTGCTCGCCTTGAGCATCGACGTCGTTTGCTGCGTTGGTGTCAGTTGGCATTCATTGTTTGTTTGTGACGCTTCCTGTGTGAAACCGGCCACCATCCACGGGCGTCGGGTGCTGCTCGGCTCACTGTCCCGCTTTGCTGGACACCAGCTTTGGGGTCGGAGCCACCGCGCGTCGTCGCAACTCCAGCTGCTTGGGACGCGGCGCTTCCTTCGCTTTCTCTCCCGCAACCAGCTGTGCTCCCAGCAAGCGCTAGCTGCCAGGTTTGAACAGCCTCAACAGCAGCAACAGCAGCAAGCGGAGGTGAGGGACGCAGAGCCAATGACCACAGTCAACGTGGAAGAGGCCTTTCCAAACCAGGACGCTGCCGTAATGGACACTCCACCACAAGCACAAGAGGGCGGCGCACAGGCCAGCAGTGCCTCAGCGCCCGAGACGGACGACATGGCCAAGTCCTACCCTTTGGAACGCAACGGGCGCTTCCACAACCCGTTTGACACCTTTGACATGAAAGGTGAGTGAGTGTGTGTGTGTGTGTGTGTGTGAGTGAGTGAGTGAGTGAGTGAGTGTGTGTGTGTGTGTGTGAGTGTGTGTGTGTGAGTGAGTGAGTTAGTGAGTGTGTGTGTGTGTGTATGTGTGTGTTTGTGTGAGTGTGTGTGTGTGTGCAGCCCAGCGCACGCGTTGTGGTTTCTCACGTTTCATGGTGGTCTTGTCACAGAACATTCAAGGTTTGGGCGGCTGTT